TAATACAAATGAAGAAATTCGACGCAAAAATTAATATAAAAAGGAAGAAATTTTCTGATTAAAAGGGATTGATGTTTATGATATTTTGCGGCATCTGCCACCATGGGAGCAGAGTAAAGCAAACCCGATTTGATTCATGTTAAATAAAACTGTGCCTTACTATCAATATTCAGACTTAACTGGTGACTAATTAATGAATAAAAACTTATGTTTCCTTTATGACGTTTGTCTATGCTTTCCAGAGGCAAACTTCATCCTATTATGTTAAGTTTTCAACAGTTTTGTTAATTTTTTTCAGAAAGCGGTGAACAAATTATTCTTAAATTTGGTTTCTAACCTTCTGCAAGTTGCAGAAAAAAATTTTATGGTTTAATTTTCTTTTTGAGTAGTTATTTACTACACTACACTACAGCTAATAGCAACGCCGATAATTCAGACCAATTGGATAATATTTAGTATTAGGAAAGAAATCTAATAACTTGAATGAATTATTTCAACTTTTCATGATACGTCAGAGGTAAGTGAGCAGAACACTAGTACTTTTCCAACAGTGATGCAATGCTGTCGCACTACTGTTCTGTATACAGATATTAGAAACCATAATGCTAGGATACAGACACATGTGTGGGAGATTATTAATAGAGCTTTACTATTAATAATCAGTGCCATGTACTATATGATTGCTGTGTTAGAGATAGGAGGCATATGTTTACAAACACTGTCTCATTACTTGGATTACAAACTTATGGGAGGAGTTAGGTGCATCCGTATGACTCAGAATCACATAATAATGTAAGGCTGGAAATTACATGTACGTGCGGTAGCGTACACAGAAAACACCACATATGAAAAGATTCAACGTAAATGAATATGGTATAAATAATAAAATGTACATTCAACAAATGTAACAGATGTAAAAAAGAAGGCTGTTGAAATCTTCTTCACGAGTTGTAAAGCAACGATCACATCTACAAATATTTTGGCAGGTTGCGGCCATGTATCGAACTTCCCCGGCAGTTATTGCGACACGTGTAACCCGTTTCTCAGTGCTGTCAATGGGGATGTGAGACAGCAGTATTTTTATGCTGTCAGTAGAGGTAATTGAAGTACGATAGTACTGACGATGAAACAAACAAGTGCACCGGACCATCACATTTGACCTATTATAGGCAAACGTCTGAGTAACCCTATTTATTGGCTAACTCTTTGTTTGTATGGTCATCAAGTCAACCACTTCTAAAGTCCGTGCGTAAAATGGAGTTTCCTTGCAAAAGCTGTCGAAGCAATGCCATCAGCCATACAAGGAAAGCATTTTCGAGCCTGAATTGCTATGCGATTGAGTCATCTGGGTGCACTTTTTGTGCCCCTCCTAAAGGTTTGTAATCCTGGTACCGAAACACGGCGGGAATGTGTGTATATATATATAAATGACATGATATGAATGATTTGGAATTCGGCGGTAGCGTAATAGATGCGTAGCGAAGAAACTTGGCAAGGTATACATGGCAGGATTTCAAGATAATGTTATTGTTAAGGAAATAATGTTATTGTTAAGGAAAGCAATTCTGTATTCGCAATATTTTTTTTTTACATACGGCCGAGTGTCTTATGCACTCTTACATTTTTGTTAGCTCAGCACATATTTCATGAACAAACAAAGTAGCCAAAAGGCGTCTGGCCAGGAGAAAAGCTTAAGCAGTGTCGCAGGAATTCAGAGGAAGAAGGGAAGGAGTCAAAAAGTTTTAGTTCGGATTAAAAAGTTTTGGTTTACAGTAGAGTCACTGGGAAAGACGTATCTGCATTAAGCGTTACGCAGGATTGCATGATTAATTTGAATGACACAGAAAAATGTTTACGCTAGCTTTTAAATGTTAGCTTTTAAACGTTAGACTTATAGCGCTATTTTTAAGATAGAGCATGAAAGTCCCCAAATTGAATAAAAAATAAAAGAGGTTATAGCCAATTGAAGTTAGAAGTTTGCTGTTATAGTTTTTATCTTATATACATATATATTTATATACACACTCACACACCACTCGTCATTGAAAATGCAAAACCAAGGAGTGGACCATAAATTATGCAAATTTCAAGGTAGATGCATGTCACCGAGTTATGCGAATGATATGAAATGCGCAGCTCCACAGTACTTAAGATATAAGCGAAGGAACCTGCAGAATGTTCAATTTTTATGCCGTTATTTCTGCTAAGGAAATCATCGTAGAAAATTTGTTCTTGTCTCAGAGGACGCGCATAATAGCAGAGAATGCCAGGCCGTCGTCAACGGAGATAGTTCGAGCAGACGATTTTACGAGAGGCATGGTGAACGGACTGAAAAGGACAGATTAGTTCATACGGCTAATCTCAGCTGACGCATACCTGGATGCGTCCACAGTGCACCGTCTGTGGCGATGATGGTTGGAACAAAGAAATGTGGCAAGTTCGAGGGCTGCCGGCGCAGCTAGAGTGACATCAGGACGCATGGATCGACGCATCGGTCGACAAGCGGTGGCGCACCCACAAGCGACTTCTACCTCCCTTCTGCAGCATGTTCAAGACACTCTGGATGCTCTCATGTGGACTAGAACCATTTGCCGTCGACTGGTGGCTTGTAGCCTGCACTCGTGGCGTCCGTTAAGAAGACAACACTGTTCTTGCTCTGTATTATGCGTATCATTTCGAAATAAAGATCACTTATTGTTCGCTGTTCACTTATTGTCCACTCCATCTTGGTGCTGCATTTTTAATGTCGGGTAGTGTATATATAGAGAGAGACAGATACTGAATTTCCTATGAAAACTTCATTTTCCACTCTTGTCGGTAACCTTTACTTCTTCACTAAAGGGTATCATTTTCCAAAATCTCTTAATCGATTTGATAAAATTTACTTCAGTAATATTTTTAGTTATTTTGATGATATTATTGCAATAAATGATTTTGAGAAAATTGAAGGACGGCGTATATACCCATCTAATGTAGTCCTATCTTAAATTAACGCTACTCTTAAAGAAATTAAATATTTTGATTTAAAAAATATTAAACTTTGAGGCAAAGGAAGAAACTTTAATTTTAACGCTAATTAAATTAATTCACTAGGAATATAACATTTCAAAAAAAGTTATAAATAACATTATTCGCAATCAACTACGTAGAAATAAAACTATTTATACCGAAGTTGATTAATTACAAGAAGAAATCCTGATTTTCTTTAATTCATTAATAGAAAATAAATTCCAAAATATTGCATTAACTTTACTCTGAAAAAAAAAAAAAAAAACAAATAGGCATTAACTGTCAAATATATTTTCTGGTTTTACATTGCGAAATGATTGGAATATTTCAAACCGAAAGAAGAATAATGCAGGAAAGTAAATAAAACTGAGACTTCTTAATACGTAAATAATTCTGTTTTCATGTACAGATTCTTTATTATAATTATTGTTCTTTTTTTTTTTTACTACTAGGTTAATTTAGTTTTAAAATCTCACAACCACTATGTTTGGGTACATACTATTGATTTTAATTTTATTAACTGTGTTTTCCGCAACTTTTGTCAGAATTTAAGCTTATATTTTGAATTAACGTTTAAAAGCTAGCGTAAACATTGTTTACCATCTTACTGGTTTCTTTCCATTGCAGAGCCCACCAGCGGCCGAGCGGTAAAGTCGTTGAACACTGGTAGTTCGGTACGAGGTTCGAATCCCACGAACGGGCTGGCTGCATGGCCGTTTTCGTGGTTTTCCCCATGTGTAACGTGTATACGAGCCAGTTTCCCTTAGCAAGTCCTCCACGAAGGCATTCCTACACTTAGGCAGATAGCCCTCGAGGCTTTGCCATAATCACACACTTTCTTTCCATTACCTTTTGGCAAACCTAAATTTCGTTATTAGCGCAATAGGCATTCCTACACTTAGGCAGATAGCCCTCGAGGCTTTGCCATAATCACACACTTTCTTTCCATTACCTTTTGGCAAACCTAAATTTCGTTATTAGCGCAATAAATTTGTTCTTGAACATTCTTCCTTTTTCTTTATTTGTGTCAGATTTTTTTTTGCTTACGTCGTTATTTCAACAACGTTGGCATGGTTTTTGTTTAAAGCACATTATTTAGTTTGGCTGTTTCAGCGTTTGAATGATTTTCACATTGAAAGGGCAGCCTTGCTCCGTACTTTCTACGCTATGCGTTTAAAATGTGAAATACTGCGCCATTTTAATTTTGGTTCTAGATATTTTCGTCACTTTTGTTTCGTGTAGAAATCTTAATAAGCTTCTTCTATTGTTTGATTTTAATTTTCTGAGACATTTCTCGCTTTTTTTCACTTTTATATTGTAGGTTTGAGTGGAATTAGAAAGGGTTTTGATATCTTAATACAGATTTGTTTTATAGGCTGTTGACCATTTGACAAAGTTTGTTACATAAAAAAATTTTAGTCATTGTTTTTAATTTTAATTTGCTTAAAAGGTTTTGCATTATTTTTTTTTGTTGTTGTTCTTAGAGCAATTACGTTGGGTTAATCGCTGTACTGTCTGAGAATGGATCTAAATATAATTGGTACTATGTAAATATAATAATATGTGTATAATTGTAAATATAATTGGTAAATTTATTTGGTACTACAAATCTTAGGCAAAGGATCTTGTTATGTGAGTTTGCCGTGACTTTTATGATTTGATTCGACGACGTGCTGATTTATTTTGATGCGTTCGTAATATGATTTCATAATTTTTTAGCTTCTCATTCGCTTAACAAGATCAAAGTAATAAAATATATTTTTATATTCTTTTACGTTCAAAATGTGCCTGCTTAGCAAAAACATTTCCAGCGCGTGACGTTTCGTGTATTAAAATATTTTCCGTACAGAATCATAGTCTCTGTATGGAATCATGGATCGTGGCTTCAGTGTTTAAAGTTTCTAACACTTTAATTCTGTAATAATGCTGTATTTAAAAGAAGGAAAAAAAAAAAAAAAAAAAAAAAAAAAAAAAAAAAAAAAGAAAGGAAATGAGGCAAAATTATATATTTATTTAGTTTCACAACAAGCACCTTCACTGGTTTTGATCGTGCACGCACAAAATGCTCACAACGGAAGAGGAAAGGTATCAGCAGTAAGGCAGACATTTTAACCGGCACCTGGCATACACACCCCTCGGGTCTTCCACTAGAGCCCCGAGTAGTAGCAGAATCGCCCGACAGGTTGCGTTGCAGGGCCATAAGAAGAAAACACTGATACACGTAATGTTGCAAAGAGACCAGAGAGCGCCAAATACAAAAGTGGGATTACCTTTCCTTTAAGAAACTTTGATTTAGAATGAGGAACTATACGGAGAAATGTGCCCCATTCACACAACACACATAAACCAACACAGGGATTTTGATAATTTAGTGAAGTTTGAAAAAGTAAATACACATCATATTGAAGTATTTGGCGCTTACATTCGTCCACAGCTTTTAAAATGTGCTTAAACACCCAATCAGACACATTAATATAAGATTAGATATACATGATGCTCCAAAAAGATTGCATGAGAAAAGAAATCTTGAGCGAGGTGTCGTAAGCTTCTAACTTAAGTTTAACAAATACGATAGGGTTTCAAACTGTGGAGATATTAATTACGCCATTCTTCTTTGTAAAATTATCAAATTTTGAAGTTTTTGTACAATTCTTCTGCAAGAAAAGCTCTAATTACTGATTATAAAATTCTAATTACCTAGTATTTCTTATCTTACTGCAACGGAGCTTTCAAATGTCACCCTTACTACTGGATTTTTTTTGCTCTGCGATTTATGCTGCAAAGAATTGTGCAAAGTAAGCGGTATTGAGTAGTTCAACTATCAGATATTACTTGTAATAGAGTGAGAGCTCTAACGTTTTAGTCACCCGTGAGAATCATAAGTAAGTAGAAAGAACTTTTATCAACATGAAAAAGAATTATCCTGCAGTTTTTAGTAATGGGAAGAGATCTTAGGCTTTCAAATTTCGATGAAGCTTTACGACAGTACAGAGATCACGTCTTTGTTGATGAATGGATTTGCCTCCACATTACTATCTAGCATTTTGCAGCACATTTCACTTCCACTGCAGTTTGAGAATGGATACATTTCTAGCCGAGTTCCTTCCTTTGAAGAAAAGAAACAACTCCTAGGACTTCTTCTTTGAAATAACTTCTAGAACAGTGGGAAAGATTTTTTGGTGCGCGGGATGGGGAAAAGAATTACTTCGAGTAATGTTATGATTTGCAAGCATTTAACTGTTTCACTTTTATCAGTTTTTTGTGCGTCTGGGTCATATTTGAAATATAGAATATTAAAATACTAAATACTTCTAAATTTTTGTGTTATATAAAGCTCATCTTTGAAAAGCTGTTAAAATTATATGACTCGGTCCATTTTCATCCAATAGAACTAACGGCTAAAATGTCGATTTTATAGCTTTAATTGAATTTCTACCGCGGAAAATTCAAGAATACTTATCCACAGTATTACTATAACAGAAATTCGAAACCCTTCTTTTACTATCACGTATTTTTAAGTATGCAGCATTTTTTAGAAGTTTGTGTTCGAAAATGTGTATTTGTACGTTCTCAATTATCAGCTGAAAATTTTAATTTACATAATTTTGATTACATAGTTAAGGGCTTTTATTTTATTAGACTAATTTAGCTATCAGACTCATTTTTTTACTTAATTGCTTTTTATTGTGCAACCCATGCAAAATTTAAGTCATGAATGTTTTCAGAAATGTGTTATGTGACCGAAATCATCATCGTCTAAATGTCTCGTTTATGTGATTCTTTCTTTAAACTAGTACGACAAATCATTCAAGAGATATTCAGCGATGCAATCTTTTTGAAACGTGGGAATATATTTATATTTATATTTATATATGTAAGTACGTAATAAAACAATATTAATAAGCATTTTTAACATGTATTCGTCATTGTGGTCTTGTTCTTTTAAAGACATAAGCAAAACGTTTTTAAAAGTCTGCCATGTTTCCTTCCCATCTTTGCTTCAGATAAAAATAGCTTTTCAATAGATGTTCGGTTTGATTTGAGAAGCAAAACGAACCACTTTTCGGGCTTAAGTAAACATTTGAACTCTTCAACAGGCGTAACGTTGGGAATATATTATCGTAAGTCATTTTCGTTTCTTGAAGTGCATCTGAACTACTGTCTGACCACGAGTAGGGCGATCCTGTTTGGCACTATGTTAGAATGTTTTGACTCGTCCATAAAAATGTCAAGTTGAAAAGTTTCGGCAAATTAGGAGTAGGTAGGATGTTAAAACGACCTTTTCGTATCTTTAGCCTCTACCCTGTGGGTTATACTTACCTTTGATTTCTTGAAGAGATTTAAGAAATAAAAACATAAATTGGTTTTCTCGCAGCACCCGATTGTGTCTCGTAAATAAATCGGATAGAAGCAAGCACGTTTTGTGCTCATGGTCGCTCTCTTCGTCGACAGACAGTATTTAATGATGCTTTTCTAATAAGTGAGCCCATCCAATTTCCTTTGACTCCGCCTACAGAATAGTTTCGTTGGTGGATGTACGAGGTCCGTTTACCAGCGAATATCGGGAAGAGCCCTCCCGGCCACTTGCTATTTTTCCTTGCAAGAAGAGATCTTTGAAGGTTTCTCTGAACTGGCGACTCATACCACAATAAATAGCAAAATTGACTGGATAGCTCAGCATTATGAAAAAATTGGTGAACAAGATAGTCGAATTAAGGTCATCATAGTCTGCTATATGCAAATCCAGTGCGTTCTGCATCACGTGTAAGAGGGTGGTCACAGCCAGTGGGATCTCAACGGCAAGAAAAACAGTCACTACCACGATCAGCATCAGAGTGGTGCAGTTGCTGTCTCGCAACTTTTTGCACTCACTTTTACGGTTTTCTTTGAACAATTTTTGCCGCTTGAGCTGAGCTTTTCGCAGTGCCCAGAACAACAACACGTTGAAAATGACCAGCGCTAGGCAAGGACCAACGTGCACGAAGAGTATTCGGAACCCGTAGTACATTGTGTAGTAGATATTTTCAGTGATGGTGTCCGTTACCCATTGGGCTGTCATGAAAATGCAGCCCTCATGGATACCACCTCTCCAACGGAAACGCACAGCTTCAAAGACTCTGTCGAAGAAACGAGTTGACTGATGCACAAAGGCGAGGACATAGACCCAAGCCATGGCTCTCCATACTTTCGGTACTGTGCAGCAGGTTCTCGCAGTGGTAGGATGGCATACATAGATATACCTCTGAACAGCAAGTAAGAGGGTAAGCCATATGGAGGCAGTGTGAAAGAAAGCTGGTACAGCCTCTATCATACTGTGGTAGGCGTAGCACGTCGATGGTGGAAACAAGAGATCAGAGTGGTGGTTCAGGGTATACATATAAAAATACCAAGGAGCTGGGAAGAGGAGAGTCAAAAGATCTGAAATGGCCATGGCCAAGAGCACCAGGTTGGTCGGCGTCCTCATGTGTCTTTGAGCGAGGACGACCACAATGAGCGTGTTGGCGATGATGGTGACAAGAAGGAGGAAAGGCATGATGTACCCAAAAAGTGGCATGGCATATTTGAGTGGTACATCCCTAGTGACGTTCATCAGAATGTGCAGGTCTTTCGCATCTGGGAGCCAGTAGTCGTCGCTGTAATTTCCACTGTAGTTATGCCCCGTGACATCGTCATCTGGGTAAGTAGTTGTCAAATCCCCCGTTTCAATCGCGACTGGGATATCCATAGTTGTATTCAGGTCACGCCTTCTTCCTGTGTTACGTTCAAATCAAGCAGGAGTCAAAATCTCACATTATATGGTCCTACAGGCGCTGTTTCCCAAGACGCCTGAAATTTCTCGTACCTGAAAAGAGACAAAAGTGTTTATTGTATATTGTGAAGTAGTAGGTTTGGAACACACACTCGCACAAAAGAAGAAACGAATCATTTAGTTTAAAACCAATATAAACATGTAAGGATTATGTTAATTTTATTAACAGTTAAACTTCCTTTCCTATCGATTCTTAATTTCAACTTACCACTTCCGGCCAGAACGTAGTTTTAGAATCACTTCTGAATGCTAATGAGGAAGAGTGGTGTTTAACCGCAAAGTTCTACTGTCTTACTGAGAGAGATACCAGATATTCTGTCTGCACACGTCCGCCTTTTTAGACTACTCTCTCGTAAGCTATTATTACGCTCGGCCGTACTTTAGGCCCTTGATAGCTTCGCAGTCAATTAGCGTTAAGGGGCCAACTCTGTTAGAATTTTGATAGCTTCCGCTATATCTCTTTAGTTAAGAATAGTTTAGTTTGATTCTTAGTCTCTTAATTTCAAGCCCAACTGTCGGCTTTATTGTACAACTGCAAGACGGAGTTCTGTTTAAAATCTTAGTTGAATAACAAAGGGTCTTTTAACCCTTTCCAAGTTTATTTATTGTCTCACGAACTCAAGCGATTACTCGCTTACTAGTTCTTACGATTCTTCACTTTTAACTGTAATTTAGAATTGCACAATTGAGAATCCTACAAACATTTCAAAACAAAACTTATAAAGCGTAATTTTGGAAAACGAATCAAGTTGAATTCTTGATTTTAAAAGTGAATTCCGAATTTGACCCTGAAAACGTTTAGATATCTATAAATGCGGTGTTGGTGTATTGAGAATACGGCAAAGCACACTAGGGCTATCTGCCTAAAGGAAGGGATGCCTTCGGGAAGGACATTCTAAGGGAAACTGGCTCGTATACACGTTACACATGGGTAAAACCACGAAAACGCCCATGCAGGCAGCCCGTTCGCGGGATTCGAACCTAGGACCGAACTACAAGGGTTCAGCTATTTTACCGCCCGGCCGCTGGTGGGCCCCGATATCTATAAATATGCTAGGCAAATATAGTAGGACGCATATATGAGATACTTTTTTTTCTTATAAAAAACCTTGAATTCATACAAAGGCAGCTTCTTATCAAGTCAGCTTTAATATTAAAGGTTTTCAGAAAGAATATATAGAAATAACATAGGTTTTAACTTTGAAGTAAATCTAAGTAAGTATGCTTTCTTTTAACTTGAAAGCTGATGGATAATTGATAAAATCTCTTGTGATTGCTATGTATATTTTCTGTGATAACTTGATGTGGTGACAAAATTTGTTGCAGAGAATGAGAACGCCAAAGTTTCCGTCGGTTAGCATCCAAACATAGATCATTTGATTTATAGGAGAGTACTTTAAAGACTAGACTGAAAACATGTTAAGCTTTCAGATGTGAAATGTGGAATCTTTCTTCCAGTGACTAAACGAGATTGCTACATTCTTAATATGATTTTAGATATTAGGCTTCTTAATAAAAGTCATGTGCGACTTTTAAAAGGACATTTAATGGAAATAAGTATTGTTTTGCGTAATCTATCGAATTCGCGGTAGTACGAATTTCAAATGTCTCACTCTGCATGATTTAAATATTCATCTAAATTAGGTCTCACCCAATAGCTAAGTGATTAACACCATTGAGAATCAGTAGTTCGACCCGAGTTCAAATTCTGGTGAGCAGGCTGTCTGCAAGGGCGGTTTCAAGGTTTTTCGGTTCCCGTAGAGGGACCCTTTACGAAGGCATTTCTCCTTTAAAGCGGATAGACGTCTTGTAGTTCATCATAATGAACCTAAAAATAATCATAGTTACCATAATGAACTATATTAGCTCTTGATCCAAACTATTTAATTCTAGTAGGAGAATTTATGATGTTACCATAGATTATCTTAGTGGAATACGAATTCGGTCAAGAGCTGGGGAAATGATGTAAGTGTATCAAAAACTTATCTTAACTGATAATATAAAGAGCCTCTCTATTTATTTAAATAGATTTGTGATGCACCAAATTGGTTGATTCGATGAGACTGTTGAACAATTAGACCCGGCTTCAGATCTCGAGAAAACAGGTTGGCTGTATGAGTGTTATCATGATTTTCTCTCTATATATAAAATACGAGACAGTTTTCCATAGAAGGTTGTTAGCTAAGACATCCTGTTCCTTAGGCAGATAGTGTGCTTCGCCATAGTCAATTGAACAAATATTCGCTTTCAAGTTTCGTTTTCAACTTTCTGTACAGTAGTCAGAAATGAAAGGCCTACGTTAAATGGAGGAAGCTCCACTCTGTTTTTCTGGCTACTTTGGCGCATCACATTTGGCGTCAGTTTACTTCTTGGTTGAGGCCAAAATAACCAGGATGTTTATTTTACCACAAGAAAGAGAGCTTTGTGCCACAAGAAAGAAAGCAGAAGTGAACTGAATAGTATTTTAAGAAAGAATTGTTAATTTTGGGAGGTAATAACAATTATTTTGTTGCCGATAATCTGGTTTTTAATTTTATTGAAGGGATTTTGTTGTTAAACATCAGAAAACAAATAAAACTCATAAGAAGTTACCAAGATCTGGTATGGGTTATGGTGTGTGTGTGTGATTATAGCAAAGCCTCGAGGGCTATCTGCGTAAAGGGAGGGATGCCTTCGTGGAGGACTTTTTAGGGAAAACTAGCTCGTAATACACGTTACACATGGAGAAAACCACGAAAACGTCCATGCAAACCAGCCCGTTCGCGGGATTCGAACCTCGGACCGAACTACCAGTGTTCAGCGACTTTACCGCTCGGCCGGGTTTGCCGTATCTAGTGATAAGTGAACATGCCTGATTTTTATTGAGAATTGCATTAAATTAATTGTAAGCATAAGAAAAGGAACTGTAAAGTTTTGGTATAGATTTAGATGATTTACAAAGTAAATTTTCTGTACGTATTTGCAGTAATTGTTTTCTTGTGATTATGATTATAAATGTTACCAATCTTATTAGTATACATATGTAATCAATTAACGTTAATTTTACTCTTGAGAAGAACACTTTTCAAGTATAAGTTATTAAAGTTTAGAGAGTTAACGTTTATTCAAACGACATCACATCAGAGAAAAAAAAAAAAAAAAATTACGGGAAGTCTTTAAAATAATTCTTATTTCGAAATTATAACAATTGACAGATAAAAAAAGAAAGCACAATAATTAGTTTGGAAATTTAATTTGTGATATGAAACTACAACAATTTAGCGATGTTCTCAAATAAATTTTAAAAATTACAAACGTTTTATATGATAATTTATTTAAAAATTTGCTTGAATAAGCGTTCCTAAATTATTATAAAAATTTGGAAGTGATATTGTTTCAAAATTTTGATACTGATGCTATTGAATTACACAACACATTAAATAGAATGCTAACTCTTATAATACCGGATATTGGCTCTCAAGAACTGCTAAAAAATGATTGTTATTAAAAATGTGACTTAAGTGTATTCAGACTTGTGTATGATTTTGCTAATAATTCTAAGCATTATTCATGAAGGCAAGAGCTGCAGAAACTGTTTTTTAAGAGTAACTATACGTTAAAATAAGTTGGGTGGGCTGCAATCATCTCATTAAAATGATGTTAAAAAATTGCTAGTGTGTGATTTTTAACAAAAATTCGTTTGAATACTGCTGATATTCAAGTATCAATATTTTAGATAAATTTGTTATTAAATTTAAGTAATATAACTTAAATTTATCAGAATATATAAGTCGAATATAGTATTTGGTTTAAAAGTGGGAAGCTGTTTCTTAAATAATAATTTAAAATAGCGACACGCATCTTATGATGAACCTCACTATAGAAACTTCTGGTTATCGTTGTTTTTAGTTACTTTGAAGCCAGTGTGCATTAGAGTCATAACAGGTTCACAAACTGTCATTTGAAATTGTTGCCATTTCTGTTACATGTACTTTGCTGCTATCTTAATTCTGATAAATCTTCAGCTGTTTCATAAATTCTCATAAATTTCCTGTGCTGATGAAGCAGAAAAAGCATGAAAATTACCTGAGCATTTTCATGTTTTTTCAGCTGGAGCATAAAAATTACATGAATTCTCTTGGATCAAGTATTTAGAACCTTGAAACTGCTGACATCTTTACACGCAGTGTAGTATCTTACACATAGCCGAGTTAAGACTTTTAGAGACCCTAAGTACTAAAATTATTTTGGCAATTTACACACATCTGCTTTTCTTCCCATCCCTTTTCTCTCAAATTTAGTTTAGTTGCTGCATACATTCCATGGTAGAACAAGGAATGATGTCCCTTTTCTGGAGTTCTAGAGCTTAAATTGCGCCGGAGCCCACCGGAGCCCTTTTTAGTTTTTGGGTTAAATCCTAATTCTACGGAGCCGTAACTAAGAAGGCTCCGACACTTCTTTTACGTAACTGAAGCAACAATCTCAGTAGAAGTCTGATGACGAAAATTTTTTTTTTGCAATAAAATTGTATTAAAAATCGCTTATTTTTATCTCTTTACATTTTAGTTAACTTAAATAATTTAAATAAATAACAATGAATTAATTTTTTATCTAATTAAATAATAATTGATAAATAATAAGTATTAACATTGATTAAATAATTATTAATTAATTTGATAATAATCAACTATTTAATTTTAAAATTATTAATAATTTTAATAGTCATTTTATTTATTTATTTACTTTTTTCCTCTTTGCTGACGGCCTTCCCATAGGGCTCTGGCATTTCTAATTTTAGAAATTAAGCCCTGTCGAGTTCCTAAGCAGCATCTTATGGCGCCTGCTTTCCTCGATGCCTTAAGCATGAGCTTATTTTGCTTAATGGTGAATCCAATTCTGTTCTTACGATGTCTATACGCAATTTTGTTATCAATAAAATAGTTTGTTCAAATGATTTGTTGTACAACATGTATTTGTTTAAAATAATAATTACAAATATCTACATCTTATTAGTTTATTTTTAAAATTTTGATACCTTATTTTATGTATTTTAG